CACAAGAAGGATGTGGACCTGTTGGAGCAAGTCCAGAGGAGGCCATGAAGATGATCCGAGGGCTGGAGCACCTCTGCTGTGAGGACAGGCTGAGAGTTTGGGTGGTTCAACCTGGAGAAGAGGAGGCTCCAGGGAGACCTTAGAGCAGCCTTCCAGTACCTAAAGGGGCCGACAAGAAAGCTGGGGAGGGACTTTTAACAAGGACATGGAGTGATAGGACAAGGGGCAGTGGCTTTAAACTGGAAGAGGGTAGGTTTAGACTGGACTTAAGGAGGAAATTTTCTACAATGAGGGTGGTGGGACACTGCCACAGGTTGCCCAGAGAGGTGGTAGATGCCCCATCCCTGGAAGCGTTCAGGCTCAGGTTGGATGGGGCTCTGAGCAACCTGATCAAGTTGAAGATGTCCCTGCTCATTGCAGGGCGGTTGGACTAGATGACCTTTAAAGGTCCCTTCCAACCCAAATGATTCTAGAAGGTGAAGAAGATAATTGTCACAATGCAAGGGTTTAAAGCATTTGGGAAAAAATTATTACAAATACATTTAAAAATAGGTATATATACCCAGATTTTGGAATAAAGCAGTTTTGTCAGAAATAAGGAAAAACTACGCTTTTTGTAGCAATTTTTTCCAAATGTTTGGTGATCCTTTTATGGGGAAAGATTTCTGTCCCTGGCCACTTGTTTATATTGTTGGTATAGGCAAATGAACCAAGCTAAATAGTCACTTTAAAAGCTGTGAGGTAGGTATTGGTATTCTAAACAGAGATTTGGTGCTCTAAAATAGAGCTGTGCAGTAGCACTTTGCTGAAGGTCCAGTAGACATTTTTCTCTGCTATGCTAAACTTCACTGTGTTCTTTATATGCTTTTACAGCAGCTTTGTTCATAAAATGCACTCTTAAAGGCAGCCAGCTGAAGAAAACTTTATGCTAAGCATTTTCTTCCTCTTATTTTAATTTTTTTTTAAAATTCTAACTCATTAACCTGCCCTTTTATCTTTTCCATTATGACCTTTTAAATACAGCCTGTGCTTGTCTTAGATGCTTGGCTTATGTAAGTTAATGTGTAGTTTCATAGGGGCAATATAGTCAGGATGAAATTCTGCCAGAAAGAGGCAAACCCTAAAGGTGTTCACAATTTGCCCATGGGTTGGGGTTTTGTTTTGTGTTTTGTTTTTTGTTTTTTTGTTGTTTGGTTTTTTTTTTTTAAATGCCACCTTCTTCCCAGCACAAGAGTGCACTTCTGATCTTAGCTTTACTGGATAAACATTGGTATAGTCATATATCTAAAGTGGGAGCTGAGAAGCTGTCTTGTATCCTTTGCGTTAAAACCATACGTAGCTCCATGCATTGGGTGTTGGAAACATTGGAGTTTTTTGGTTTTTGGTTGGTTGTTGGGTTTTGTTTCTTTGTTTTAGGGTTTTTTTGTTCGTGTTTCTTTTTTGTTTGTTGGTTTGGTTTTTTTACGGTTTATGTCACAGTGGCCTAAGTCAGTGATTTCTGGTACTGGATGCAAGAGGGCTGGTCTAGGAGTGATGTATTGCCAGGTGTCAATTCTGTCTGTCATCGTGGATCTGCTGTTCAGGTATGATGTTGCCTGATCTGTCGAGGAGGGGAGGATCTCTCACCATACGGACCTTGCCCAAGGATTCACAAAGTCTAAGTTACCCAGTTACTAAGCCTACAACAGCATTTTTAAGTATTTCCCAGACATGACCACAATGATATTTTAGTATTTGATATTTGCATAGGGATCTCTCGATCAGTAATAAGTGATATAAATTGTTAAATTGTGGCACCAAAAATAATGTTTGCGTGTAGCCACTTTTTAACCTTAAAAAGACCCCAGAATGTTTTCTGAGGCATACTCCTGTGAATTGCAGAACTACCTAGAGAGTTTCTTGATTAGTTTACCAGAGTAGGATCCTTAAAAGGCATCTACTCAGAGTTCAGTCAAAATCACTTGTGAATATACCAAATGAGAGTTGTTGCAGCTCTTACACTGAGGCTCTGCACCACGGAACAGGATTTGTCTCACAACTGAGCAGCTGAAGTAAGTAGCTCAGTCTTGTCTAGGGCTTTGTTGTAGTTCTGAAGTTTGAAGTAGTGGTAGCCTTCCAACACTTGCTACAGGAAACCTTCATACATTTGTCCTGTCACCGTTGCAGGAGCTCCTTCCTGTTTCTGTATCCATGTGGTAAAGTTGCTTCAGAGTAATTATGTTCAGATTAATGTCTGTCTTCATAATTTGCGGTTCAGATAATTTCCCCCTGTCACCACTGTCGCATTAGGAGTGTTGCTTCAAAGTGGCTGAATATCCAACAGCAGATTGCATGAGTGACAGTCCATTGCTTAATTTACTGGGCCTTCTTTCTCTGCTTGCATTTTCTCAATTCCCTGCCTTATTTATAATGTGGAAACTTCCCCCATGACTCTTCTTTTACAGACAATGCAACTGACACCAGAGGTTTGATTTTGTTGAGTGTGTACTGTGTGATTGAGTTTTGGATTAGATAAGTAAACCTTCTGGGCTCAGTCTCAGGTTTTACCAAAAGTAACCTTCTCATTTTCCATGCCCAGAAATGACTGAAGCTGTGAAACAATCTTGTAAGGTTGTAAAAGCTTGGTATTTGCATGACAAAAAATTAAGTCAGTCCAAGTATCTTCAGAAGGAAGATGATAAAGTGTAGCCTTAACTTTGTGAGTCTCTTCTTAAATAACTTGCATCTTACAAGGTAACATTTTAATATTGGTATTATTTAATTTGTGACTTTTTTAGTAGAACTGAAAGTGTAAATATAATTGGCATTTGGATGATCTGTTAATCAGAAGTTCAAAGAGAAAGAAAACTGATGAAGACTTAAGCAGTTACTGTAATGCATGTAAGTGACCAGGTAGTCCTAATGTGTATTTGTATCCATCACAGAAGTAGCAGCAGTGTAATCTTAACAGCACTCAGCTTTTCTTTGAGGCAGTAACATCCAGAAGCAAACAGAATCTACAGGCCGTGTTGATTTTGCCTCTGTATTACATCTATTATTTTACTGTTTGATATTTTGGTTCTTGTGAGGGATATAGACTTTCAGGTAGTAATTCTTGCATTTGTAGAAGGTGACATATAAGGATATTCATGTAAGCAGTTTCTGCTGCAACTCTTGAGTCTCCCACAATTAGGTGAACTTGCTGTGCTGTGTAGATCTTCTGTGACGCTTCTTGTTTTGGTAATGGTGCTGTTACATAAAAGTGCTTTGGCAATTAATAAAGTTATATTTTAGCCTTATCCTTTGTAACTTCCGTACTTGTAGCTGCCCTAAAGCAGGCTTCATTTTTATAATGGAAAAATTGCTTGAAAAAAATTAACTACTTGTAATTAAGGGGCAACCCCCCCTACTTAACCCAGTGCAACTGGCACCGAGTTATTAAAACTACCATTAAAATGGCTTGTTCTGTTAGAGAATAAGAAATTTTTTTCCTCTCAAAATGGGCAGTGAGAGAATCTACAAAAAACACCGTTTCCCTCCTGCTGACAAATACCCTCTAATTTTTTTTTTTGCAATAAGTTTACTGTCTTGCACTCCAAAGCCTTCAACTCTTGTTCTTTATCAGTGTTTGCACACAAAGTTTACTAACCCCCTGCTATCTTCCTTGTTCGCAGGTCTATAACCTAGAGGTCCTCAGACTCCTGCTACTCTTGTCTTGGGTATCCAGCTCATGCCCAAAGTTGTTTACCTTGACACTAAAGGAGTGAACAAGTTTAATCTGTTGCACGGGGACAAACTTCTGTCTGGTTCTCTTTTTTACACCCTTCTGTGTTCTGTTTTGTGGAGACTTTTCCAGACTCTCACTTCTCAAAGTGTTCCACCTGGTGGCAAAATTAGGGAATAGTTAATGGAAATGGTTTATACAGGCATAGTTCGAGTAGTGTCAGAACCTGTAATACAAGTCCTAATTTATTCCTGTTCCATATTTTATAGTAGAGAGAGAGAATTAGAATATGCCTGTGTGCCTTAAATAAGTTCCGTGTTTCTGGTTTTTGCATTTATAGAGAAATAGCTTTGACCTTTTAACACTTTATATTCCTATTCACTAAAGAGAAATAAAATGTGATACCCTGGCAGTAGGGACGGAGGACCATTCTAACAGTGAGACAACAGTACTCTTCATTTAGTGCTTTATTCTGTTTCATGAAAATTCTGACTTCTGGGTGTACCAGTTGAAGAGAAATTAGAACAGACTGTTGTACTTCCAGGTAAGGTAGGCTTCCAGATATCTCGTGGAATATTGACTGCTTGTTTTAGAACAAATAAAAACAGTGGCTGTCAGGAGTCATCTGGAAAATGGTACTCTATTTCAGGAGAAGGAAGAAGTTAATTAATTAGCGGTGGTTTTTCAGTCTTGTACTAAGGGAATATTAAGGGGAGGTAACTTCTATAGTTCCTCCTTCTATTGATGAAAAATCTGCTATTAAGTCTGTCCTGAGCTGTACAGACTCTAGTCTTGTATACTTTAAGGCCACTGTACCTCTTAATTTTAGAAGTGGCAGGGCAAGAGGCTGCTTGTCTTTTTATATTGTCAAGTATAAATACTTTAAAATCATATGTATATGACTAGGAACTTATGCTTTTGCACACATTCGGGAAGCCCACTGAAAGATAGTGCCCAGTAGCTGAATGTCCCAGTGTTCTTTGAGTATTCAGTAGTCATGTCAGCTATTAAATTGATTTTGAACTTTGTTCCCTGGTTTTACCTTCAAACCTAGTGTTAAATGTTATCCTGAATATGCTTTTATGCTAAATAAAAGATGAGATTTTTTGCAGATTCAAATTTTCCATTTTTCTATCTGCTGTGTTGTGTGTGTATATAAGATCATTAAAATTGTTGAATTTACTTACCGTGTGTTGTTTCTTACAGGCTGATCACAGTATATAGAAGCTATATGCTTTTACAGTGTGACTTTAATTATTTCTTTATTTTTCTGTAGATCAATGTCAGAGTAACCACAATGGATGCAGAGTTGGAATTTGCCATCCAGCCCAATACAACAGGCAAGCAGCTCTTTGATCAGGTAACTGATATGTGTCACTGTGTGTGAATGTGTACAAACACAAACTATTGAGGGTATTAAGGCATAGTTTGAGAAAACAGAAGTGTTCTCATGTGTAGGTTATGTTTTTCCTTACGTTATCTAAGGTATGCTCTCAGTTTGAGCTTCCGCATTACTTCTCATGGAACATATTAAATTCAAAGACAGCTCTGTGTAAACAGGTTAACAGTGAGGCTTTGGTTGAATTGTGTGTAGAACTGCTTTGAAATTATGTGTGATCATGTTATAGTTGCAACTGCAGTATAATTGTTAGAATTAGGTGTATGAGAAATTTATATAGCCTTTGCTATTTAATAATGAATGTAACAATGAAAGTTCATTAAGGAAAACTAACATCTTTTATTTTTTTTCCAAGAATGGAAGCTGTAAATACTTTCTGACTTCCTGAATGTTAGAAAAGTAACGTTGTCCTATGATCAAGTTTGAAATTTAAGTTTTTTTTTTAAAAAAAAACCAACACAAAACAGACGTAAGTGGAAAAGTAAAAATGGTGGCTTTAATGCGCTTATGGATTGCAGACCCATCAGACCTACTCATTCTCACTTGATAATGTCTCTGTCATACACCAGTCAGATGGGCTAAATGAATGATTTCTTAAAAAGGATTGTTCTTGCATTCATTTCATGGGATGTTAGCCATCAGAATCTTGAAACAATGTTTTGATCTAGATTGTGGAGTGTTCTAGAAAATGCTGAGAATAGAAGCTTGTCAATGTGTTGTTTTATCCTTGAGAAACCAATAAATACATTATATTACCAAGATCCAAGATGTATGCATTTAGTTAAAAATGCAGAAATATTCAAAATTATTCTTCAAAAACAGTTTAACTATATCAACAATTATATTTAGTTAGAACTGTTGTTTCTATCCGCTCCATTATAGATGCTTAAAGTATGTAATGATGGATATTAAGAGAAGGTAACGCGCAAAGAGTTAAGAACTCTTAACCTTTTAATTGACCTTTAAGACTTGATGAAATGTCTTAGTATATAAGCTGAAAGGAGGAGAATGTTTGTTGTTTTGTAACACTGAGCTTTTTCTTTTAGATGAACGAAATTTTGTTTGCAATTTTTGTTTTAAATGACTGTTTTAAGTGACTCTTAACACTTCTACTCCTGCTCCTTTATCTAACATCAGTAGCAGTATATGTTCAACCTCTACACAGGAATAGACTTCATGACTCTTACAAAGACTCCTGGAAGAAAGGGACTGTCCTGCTTTTTGTCTAACCAATGCCACCATCAAATAAAAAGTATGGTATTCTGTGGCACAGAAACCTCCAGCTATTACTTGTCTTTTTGCCAACCTTTGCTATCTGCTGTGCAGTATTGGGTGGGGTGACGTTCTGCTGTGTAACGTCTTGTCAGGTAGTCAGGCTCATCCAAATTGAGGCATTCACAAACAGGGAACAGGCTCTGAGTTCTTTTTCGTGCTCTCTTCAACTTTGTTCCTTAATTCGCTGTGGCATTTGACATCTCACCAGCTCTTACAATCAACTTCTGGAAGTTTAAATTGAAAAATTGTTAGGTAAAGCAGAATCAACTGGCATAGGTTTGTGTGAGGAGAGAAGGATTTTCAACCTGATCTTGAATTCACATGCGAATTCCACAGAGTAACATCAAGAGCTGCACTGTATTACAGAACCAGCATGAAATTTTCAGACAAGGGTTATGCTGTTTCTCTATGGAAAGAGAATTGAATAGCACTGTCATTGAGAGGATTGGTCTTCAAGGTTTATGCAGAAATGATGGACATGACAGTAGACTTGTTGGTTATTGCTTGCAGAAAATAACCTCTCCATGAATTTAGCTGTTGTCTAGTGGTCCTCTATGTTTTTGGTGAACAACTTGTCCTTTTTTTCACTCAGTGGTTCTTTTAAGCGGTGTTTTCTGGAGTTATTGATTTGTTTCCCATTCCATGTGTGCGTTTTCATCATCTTCATCTGCTAGCAGACAAGAAATCTGCGTTTGACATCTGTGGCTTTCTCTTTTCTCTTCCATTGTGAAACTTGGTAAAGTTCCTATTTATTACACAAACCCATTTTTTTTAAATTACTCATATTTCAGAAGGTGTCTTAACATATTTGTTATTAATCCTTCTGTCTATCCTGTCAGTGGTCAGAACAGGCAAGGGAGGTTCTATCCTCCTTTAGTCAACCAATTTAGCGTCTGTAACTGTCCTAGGAGAGGAAGAGCCCTGTGCTGCGTATGTTTCCACACAATGGTGGTAACGGTGGAGGTTGTTTTGTTTTGTTGTTTTCAGTAAGGTGTTAGCACTGAGCATCAGTACCTCTGCTTTACTATAGTTGCCATTCAGAAAGAATGGGAGGGTTGTCTCCTTTAGTTCAAGTTATACCCCTCTGTCCTTTACAGATATCTCCGAAGGCTCCCTTACGATCTTTTGGAAGCTGACTCAGTGAAATTCTTGCTAGATTGTCTTTATGTGTATGTTTTGATTTGCTGAAACATGTCTATTGCTCTGGCAGCATTTCTTCTCCAAGAAGTTTTTATTGCCTGGTAATAGTCAAGTTGTAGGATATGATGGTGGATAAATCTGTTTTACATCTGTGAAGACTTGCCTGAAGCCACTTAATGAATCTGTTGAGGCAGAGTCAAACTCTTGTTTCTCATTCTATACTTATTTTTCATATCACAGTACTGCAGTGCATAAGTGCTTACATTATCTTGGTACAAAGTTTCTGAAATTTTTTTTTTCTCTTTTTTTCTGACCTAAAAGGCAGTGATAGACAATGCTCTTTCCTTACTTGTGGAGTCTGAAGTAAACCAGGGTAATGTGTAAGCTGGTTTTAGTGTTGATTTGCAAGCATGTGTAACTCTGCATTGCAGTAGACAAGTTGTCTGTATTTAAATAATGTGCAGTGTGCATCTTGGTTGAAGGACTGTAGTTAGCAGGTGAAAGCAAAGTGTTTTGACGTGAGCATAAGGACTTGTCTCGTTATGCCTTATGGGCAGAGCTGTTGAGCATCTGTAGTTCTTACTGACTTCTTTTGCAGCTCAGAAAGCTGATCGGGTACAAAGGCTCAGCTTGGACAGCTGCAAAGTAAAGAGCATTCTCAATCATCTCATAAAGCCATAAGTAGCTTAATCAACATCATATAAGAAATCTGTACCAAAAGAAGCGGCAGGTCCGAAATTTCTGTGTTAGGACACCAAATTCAGTATTATCCAGGACCAAACTTGTTCTTAACATTCCTTATGTTCTAAAATAAACAGTGTAGGAATTCTAGAGAAAATAACTACGCTCACTAAAGGAATCAGGTTGGATCCATGAACGTTGTCCATTCTGTGCTTTGGAGCTTGAAGGTAAAAGGGTAGAGGAGGAAAAACTGTGCACACTTGAATGATTGTTAAGTAATAATACAAATATGCAAGGCATCGGAGTAAGTTTGCACAGCTATCTTGTGACATTTTCTACTTTTCAAAATCTTAATTTTGCAATCCGATAGTACTACTTTTAAAATGGAGGAGGATCTATGTGTAAAATTCTGTTTACTTCACATGCATCTGAATGCTTCCATAAAACAGCCTTCAGTAAGTCAGCTTGCCAGCATGGTCCGAACTGAGAACATGCGTAAGTACTGCCGTACTGGATCTTTTGGAGCCAGAGTTTACAGTTATTTAATAATCTTTGCTGGACCTTTCTGATTAATTGCTTATTGAATCCACGTGTACTTTTACTATGCGAAAGACTTGTAAGATAGCTCCAGAGTTTCGTTATACTCTGTGTAATGTAACTCTGTAACAAACTCTTTTTGTTTACTTTGAACTTGCTATCTAATTGTTTCTGTTGATTCTCTAAATTCTTACGTTATGAGAAATAATGAATGATCATTCCCTATTTTCCTTCTACATGCCATGCAAATTTTATAGACCTATATCATATTTTTCCTTTCCTCATTTCTCTTTCAGTAGCCTTAATTCTTTTCTGAGCTGTGCAGAAAATGTTCCATGTCACTGATCATTCTTTTCAAAGTTTCTGAAACATTTCCAGTGCTGCAGCATCCTTTTTTGAGTTGATGTGATGAGTCCATACGTAGTATTGGAGATTTGGGAGTACCATAGATGTGTATATTATTATTAACAGCTTTGTTGCTTTTTTCCTTTACAATGAGAACTTTATTTGCATAATTAAAATTGTTGTCTTTTACATACAGTATTTTGTTAAATATCATCTTTTATTGATGTTCATCTTCCTTTTTATTGTTTGTTCACAGATCTTTATGGAAGGTTTTTTACAGCAGATTTTCTCACATCACTTCATCCTTTTTTGCAGATCACATATGAAGTCCTGGGGGACTTCCCTAGTGGTTACATTACGAGTCTGTTGTGAAAACAGTTTGTTTATTTTTTCTTTTTTTTCTTTTAACTAGTATATGCATAAAAAAAACCTTCCCTCTATTCAAGGACAGTTTTGTTTTGTTAGTAGCCTTTCGTGATAGACCTGATCAGAAATCTTGCAGGGAATCCATGTATGGTTTGTCAGCGAGATCACCCTTACCCCTTTTATCATTAACTCTTAGAAGATCTCCAAAATTTGAAGGAGGCGATTCACCTTCATTACCTCATACTTGTCCACAAGTAGTATTCTTTATTATAGTTTCACAGTTGTCTTCTATTGAAGTGGACCTACTTGTCTGTAGGTCTGCAGATCACTTCCCAAACGTGCTTTCAAATGTCAGGGTCCTGTTTGCTACCTTATATTCCTCAGGTGCTGAGTTTGATGTAAGCAGTAAGCTACATGCTCCAGTTGGTCATTTGGCAACATGATCTTTGAGTTTAGTTAGAAGTCTGAGGTGAATGCTTCCATGAACCTAATGTTTTGCTACTATTTTAATTCTTTGTTCTTGTAAAGCTTGATGACATTTGAATTTGAGATGGTTTCTGTAGCTTAAGTACCATAAAAAAAAATTCTGCTGTAGTGATTACTGATGAGTATGGATCATTTATCTTTAGGTGGTGAAAACAGTTGGTCTTCGTGAAGTCTGGTTTTTTGGGCTACAGTACGTGGACAGCAAAGGCTACTCAACTTGGCTGAAGCTAAATAAAAAGGTAACAATTCCCTAATTTTTAGGCAAGTGTACAGTTTGAAATATACTTTTATAAGCCTTGCTGCTTTAATGTTGTAAGTGAGATATAGCTGGCTTCAAATTTAGTTGAAAAGTTGCTTCTTGTTTTCTTTAAATGACAAAATACATTAAGTTTGGTTAGTTGTAAAAGAATATTCAAAGCTGCATCAACGTTTAATTTGTAAAGGAGATACCATTTCCTGTATTTCCAGTACCATGGTGATGCATGCATTAGGAAAACTCAAATTCATATGATTGTCCCTGTTTTCATGTAGCAAAATATAACAGAATAAATATTTCACAGTTGGGGGTGGTGTGTGTGTGAGAAGTATTTGAGCTTCAGGAATTTGCATGTATACAGGTATCAGAATAGAGTTGTTATGGTTGGAAGAGACCTCAAAGATCATCAAGTGCAGGTATATACCCAATGCCACCACTTCCACTAAACCCACTAAACCATGTCTCAACGTGCCACATCTACATGGTTTTTGAACACCTCCAGGGATGGTGAGTCCACTGCCTCCCTGGGGAGTCTGTTCCAATGCTTAACGACTCTAACAGTGAAGAAGTTCTTCCTAATATCCAACCTGAACCTCCCCTGGCGCAACTTGAGACCGTTTCCTCTTGTCCTATTGCTCGTTACCAGGGAGAAGAGACCAACCCCCACCTCACTACACCCTCCTTTCAGGTAGTTGTAGAGGGCGATAAGGTCTCCCCTCAGCCTCCTTTTCTCCAGACTAAACAACCCCCAACTCCCTCAGCTGCCTCTCATAGGACTTGTTCTGAGGCCCTTCACCAGCTTTGTTGCTCTTCGTTGGACACGCTCCAGCAGCTCCATGTCCTTCTTGTAGTGAGGAGCCCAAAACTGAACACAGTATTCGAGGTGCGGCCTCACCAGCGCAGAGTACAAAGGGATGATCACTGCCCTAGTCCTGCTGGCCACGCTGTTTCTGATACAGGCCAGGATGCTGTTGGCCTTCTTGGCCCCCTGGGCACACTGCTGGCTCACGTTCAGCTGGCTGTTGACCGGCAACCCCAGGTCTTTTTCCACTGGGCAGCTTTCCAGCCACTCATCCGCAAACCTGTAGCGTTGCATGGGGTTATTGTGACCAAAGTGCAGGACCCGGCACTTGGTCTTGTTGAACCTATAGATCTTTAAATGAGGTACCAATAATAGGGTCTTAAAATTCTGGTTTAAGTATCTGATAGATAGATTGTAGGATAATTTTTTGTTTTGTTTTTTTCCCCAACTGCACTGAGCACCTTGTATCTCCCAGCTATTGGGAACCAGGTCATTTTACTTTAAATTCTGTTTGTAAATTTGAATGGTCACTTTTTATTTTAATGTTGGCTGTCAGGTTATTAATGGCACTGTTTAGAATAAAGAGGGGGTTTTTTGAGTTCAGCATACTCAAGAATACATTTTTTTATCTTCAGTATTAGGTAAATTAGGAGATCTTTAGGAGCAAGTACCACTGCCTGCATTTATATGATCTTTCCTTCTCTTCTGTGGTAAATCCAGCAAATTAAACCTGCTAACCACCAAAGCTGTCTCCTAGAATTTCATAAGCAATAACCGTTGTAGTGCTACAAATATTTTGTTAGCCCTAATGGCTTGCCTCTGGTGGTTGGAGACTACAGGATTTGGTGGATCATTTGCAAATAATACAGAAGACATTGCTCTGTGAAGGTCTTTAGCAAGTTAAGTTGCTGGTACTGTTCAGGAGCAGCAAGGGTATACTAATTTTTTTAACTTTGACTAAGGCAGCTGTCTTTTATTTATTATTTTATTTATTTAAAGATTGTAACATTTGATTCTTAAATGAATCATTATAAACTGGCTCTGACTTGTATGTTACTAATTTAAATATTTGCAGTAAATACAGGTAAGATCGATCAGAATAGATGTGCAAATAAGATTTTATTATGGCAAGAGAACAACTAATCGTTCACTGGTGAGATTAAAGTGAAATACTGTGTATGTAAATCAGAAGCAGATTAACAATAATGAAAAGCAAGCAAAACTTTTAAAAAATGACATCTGAAATGTTGAATGTAGTACTTATGCTGCCTTATGTAAGCGGTTAAACAGTTGTGTTATATTTACAGTTTTTGATGCTTCCTACAAGTCAAGCAAACAGATGCATCATTTCATGCGTAGTGAAGAAGTTCTAGAGGGACTACTAGTGCACATAAAATTAAATGTGTAATAAAGTTCTTGAGGTATTGGGATGTATGAGATTTGTTTTATTATGAGAGTACCTTTTAACAACCACTGTATTATTTGATGTCAAAATTAGTTTAATTTTGATATTTTTTTTTTTGCTTTAGTCGTAATTCATGCTGAAAGCTGAGCCCAAATGAAAAGGAAAATTCTACATAAAAATGAGGTTTTGTTGAAATTTGAAGTAGACAATTACTTAAGATGCCCACATCTGATCTCTTCACAGAAATCGTGATTATAAGGCTTATCCATTCTAGAAGAATAATGGGATTAATGGAATTATGTTTTTTTCACATAAACAAGGCACATGTATTTAGTTTGATAGTTCAAAGACTTTTAAAAGAATCCAACTTTACACTTACATTGAAGAAATGTGCTGTAGTTCTTGCTAAAGAAACCCTATTAGACCCTGATTTATTACTTCCTGCAATTCATCTTTGGATGTAGTGTTTTGGTGGTTTTTTTCAATATGTATTGCAACTTCTGGTTGTTTTTTTTCTGGATCTTTATTGTGATAAATACAAATTCACACAAGCCTACAAAAAAACCTCTTAAACAGCCTTTGAGTAATATTTCAAAATTGTCTGATTTATCCAAATTGGTGTACTTGATTCAGTGCAGTGTGAATCTTTAGTGAGTTCCACAGTGGGCTTATCAGGAAGCACTGGATTTCAATGTAGAGGAGCTAAAGAGTTCATTACTACTGAGTTAATTATATTTAATATAGCATTTAGTGCTCTTTTTATTTTTTTCTTTATTCCTCTCCCTCAGGTAACACAGCAAGATGTAAGGAAAGAAAATCCATTGCAGTTTAAGTTCAGGGCCAAGTTTTTTCCAGAGGATGTATCTGAAGAATTAATTCAGGAAATAACGCAGAGACTTTTCTTCTTGCAAGTCAAAGAAGCGATCTTAAATGATGAAATATATTGCCCACCAGAAACTGCAGTTCTTCTGGCTTCTTATGCTGTCCAATCCAAGTATGGAGATTATAGTAAGGAGATACATAAACTAGGCTACCTAGCCAATGACAGACTTCTCCCTCAGCGGTGAGTGAGAGTGGTTTTGCATCATCTGCTGCATATAAACTTGATTACAACACATTTTTAATAATTAAAATATTAAGTGATAATGTACATTTCATGGTAGCTTTCTTAAGAGTGCATGTTTTGCTAGTAAAATTTAGAGATCCTAATTTATACTCCAAATAACAAAGAAGTGTTACTGCCATGGGTTTCTTGAGACCTGTTTGCTGTCCCATCCACAACCATCTGCACAGATTTACTTGAACAAATTTCCCAAGTGCTCTCAAATGATCTAATCTTCCTGGAGGCTTGCCTCTGCTAAATTAAAATCGAAATACTCTAATATAGAAATTGCTAAGGTTCATTTGATACTCCTTTTCTTCAGTTCTTGATGTTTTTGTACACTTAAATGATAATGATTTCCTGAAAATACAGTGTATTGCAAATAAAATATGTTGCAGAAAAATGCTAACTTGGGCATAAAATTTAGAAACTAAATTGTTGCCATTGCTGTTGAGTATAAACTCTTTTCTATGAGTCACTTGTCTAATTGGTTAAGAAAAATAAACACCAAGATTTTAGTTCTGTTTCTTTACACAATTGAAACTGTGCTCCTGGCATGTTTTGGCAGCAAGAGAAGCATTGCAAAAAAAATGTACAAAGTTAGACAGTTTTGTTAGTGTAGATGAATCCATAGTGATGTATTGTGGACAAATGTGCGCTTACTAAATATGTAACATTAATGCATCTTCAAAGAAATGAGCCATGGAATAATTTGAGGTTTCTTTAAAAGTCACATACTTTGTCTCTGGTTTGAAAACTAAAAGTGGAAACTCACTTATTAGTGTAACTAAGCCTAGAGAATTTTCTAGCAAGCAAAAAAACCACTTCAAAGGATTGTGGTGAAGTATTGAAAGAAATATTTCTGAAAATGTTTCAGATTTTTAAAAATCCTGGCTAAGAGTTTGGTTTTGGCTGTTTACTTCCTTCTTTTGATGGTGAAGTCTATACCTCTTTCTAGAAAAATACCCTTTGTTAGGAACGCAGGGAGATGTAGAACCAGTAAAACTGTCATTACTGGATATGTTAGTTCACAAATCTTGGGTTTTGCTCAGTTATGATGACAGCCTGTGAACACTGGAGTGCTTGTGTACAGCACAAATTCAAATACTTCAGATGCTCCTTTTCAGTAGACAAATGTTCAGATGATTTCCTAGCATATGCTTTCAACCAGTCGTGTGCCAGTATGCGCTGAGTGAACACATAGCTTTTGTATTCATTCTAACACAATTATTCCTGTTTTGCCTCCTGTCACCAGGAGATTTGCCAGAAAACTAACAAGTACATCATAGAAATACTTCAGAGCAGTATGCAATATAATGGCAAGAACACTTACTTTTTTCCCAAAGTAAACTAGCTTTGCAAAATTTTACTGAAAAAGGTGAGAGAAGATTTTCAGTTCCTGTTAATTATAGAGTCTTAATGTTCACCTGTCAAAACTACTGCGTATTTCTTGGCTCAGAACTATGAGCTCGGTAGCAACAAGGCATGAAGTCCTTGCTGAGTTACTCTGCAGTAGTTCTTGCATATCTGCTAGGGATATTTCTTCAGTAGCATGTGAAGAGAGAATGGAGGGGACCAAATGATGAGACAGCTATTGCTAAAGACATTGCCAGCTTTGAGGATATCATAGAAACACAGAATCATTTAAGGCTGGAAGGGGAGCTCTGAAGATCATCTAGTCCAGTCCCCCTACTCAAAGAGGACTCACCTAGAGAGATGGTCAATGCCCCAAGCCTGTCAGCATTGAAGAGGCATTTGGACAATGTCCTTAGTAACATGTTTAACTTTTGGTCACCCCTGAAGTGGTCAGGCAGTTGGACTAGATGAATGTTGTAGGTCCCTTCCAACTGAAATAGTCTATTCTAATTACAGCAGGTCACTCAAGACCTTTTTCAGTTGGATTTTGAATATTTCCAAGGATGGACACTCTGGGCAACCTGTTCTAGTGTTTGACCACCTTCGCAGTAAAGAAATAAAATAAAAAATTGTGTTCAAGTGTATTTCACTTGTGCCCATTGGGTTGTGTCTTTCAACTCAAATTCACTTGAAAAGAGGAAAATGCAAAGAATTTCTGTAGAAGTCAAAATTTAACTTAATTTGGGAAGTCCAAGAAAGCACAAGTCACCATGAGGGTGACCAAGCGCTGGCACAGGTTGCCTGGAGAGCTTGTGGAGTCTCTCTCCTTAGAGATATTCAAAAACTGTCTTGGCATGGTCCTGGGCAACTGGCTGTAGGTGACCCTGCTTGAGCAGAGGAGTGGACAAGATGGCCTCCAGAGGTCCCTTCCAACCTCAACCCTTCTATGATTCTGTGAAGAAGAGCTTGGGAGCAGGGCTTTGATTTTCAGATGGGCACTTGTGTGACATAATCCTGGGATAGTGTACTTTGCAATATTTTTTGTCCCTGATTGTTAGCTTTATGTTATACTGCTAGGAAAGCTTTTAAATGTTTTGTGAATATCTGCTTGAGGAGTAGAAAAAATAATGGTGGAATGCAGCTCACAACATGAATATCACAATGTAAAAATTGGGCCTGATTTAATTACAGAACTTCTTTAATAAATAAACGTTGTCCTAGAAGACTTGGAATTAATTTTTTTGTGTAATAGAAACTTGTAAATGATTGCCAGGATGCTTTTAGATTATTACAGCTAAAGCAGGGTTTTCTACTTTGTGCATTCTGTAACAGGCTTCTGTAAGTATTATATTTAGGGCTTATACTTACATTCTAGGCTAAAGATGAGAAAACAAACAAAACAAAAAGGATGTCTTGTCATTACATGTTCTTATATCATTTAGCTGTGAACACCTCAGCTTTGCGCAGGTGCACAAACTAAAACCTCTGCCTCAGTTCTGAGGAGGAAAGTCTGATGACAGGGATGCAGGCTAAGCAAATCAAAATGTGATATGCCACTGAAAAGCGCATTTCACTAGATATGAGAGAGTAGCACATCGAGTGACAGAAAGATCCTATAACAGAAGCAGCACTACGTTAGTGGCTTCTGCATGACTCAGTCTATTCCTTTTTGTACTTTGC